CATTGAAAAAACACATCTGGAACCCGTACCCCCTAGGCGATGCTCAAGAAAACCTAAGTTTTCGGCCAGAGTCTCGATTATTCTTGACGTTTCGGTGTACATCCCAAGATCTTCATAGACGTGTTGGGTTTTTTACTCAAGTTCTGAGACTGTGAATTTCTTAACCCATGACTGTGTCAGCATTGGAGATGTTGGGCCTTGATTTCTTAAGCATTTCGCAGGGTGTACCCCCCCCCCAACCCGAAATTGGGGCCTTCGGGTTGGGTTTTGGGGTGGTCTGGTGGGCAGTCCGCTCTGAGAAGCCGCGGCGCCCGCTGCGTAATTACGCCATGCTCGCGCCGAATTTCGGCCGGCGGCGATCCCCCGCCGCAAGGCGTGCGACGTGGAGCGCCGCCGGCGACGCAGAGTCGCTCGGTGCTGAACGAGCCGACGTTTTTCGTCAGGAGGGGAAAAAACACACAGACACAATTAATCGGCGATTCCCAGAAAATATGGGAAAATATGGGAAGTGGGGGGGAAGACAGAAACCCGGAAAATATGGGAAAATATGGGGAATCTTTTGATTTGTGTGTATTTATTTGTGTGTTCCAGTTCCCCTTCATTTCGGGCCGGGCGAAAGGGGGGGATTGGGAAAGGGGGGGGGTTACGAAATTAGCTGCATGCAGCTGGTTTCGGCCCCACCGAGGGGCCCGCCCCTCGAGACATCGCCGCCTCCCGGCGCCGGGAGGCGCCGGGGAAAATCAGCTAATTACGTGAGCTGATTCTCAAACCCCCCCCTTTGCTATCCCCCCCTTTCGCCCGGCCCGAGTTTTGGAGACGCCCGATCGTTCAAGGCTGAACGATCCCGTCGGTGTCAGAAACTAACGCCAGGGTCGGCACGACACGAGCCTGCCGTAGCAAGGATGAGCGACTTTCCAAGGTCCCCTTTGCATCCTTCCGCTTCGGCCCACCCTGGGCCGCTGCCGCTTGCCGCGCCCCGCTCGCAAAGCATCCTGTATGGTGCGTCTTTATCATGCGGGTCCACGGTACGTCCCTCAGGTCCGCTGGATCTGAGAGATTCCCGATGTACCCCGATCCGACTTTGCCCCGTGTCGGGCCTGGCCGCGCCCGCGTCCAAGGCGACGAAGACGTCGACGACGACGACGACGACGACTGCGAGGACAAGATCTTCGAGGACTGCCACGGCCGCCTCTGGGCGGAGAGGCCCTGCGGCGCCCTGGAGCGCTACGTGTGGGGCGTGCCTCTGCACCGCGGCCCGGGTGCGGCGGCAAAAAGATGAGCATCGCCGCTGCCGTCGAGGTCTGCATGCGGGCTCGAGCCGGACGGTGGTTCTGGCGAGCTCGTGGACCGTTCTCGTTTGGATGTCGCCTCGCAGCAGAGGCAGAGATGAAGACGGAAGGAAGGACCGCAAGAGCAGCACGGAAACACGAGAGGCACTCTGGAGCTCGAGCCCTGGCCTGCATCGCTGCCCTCCCCCTGCCGTCCCCAGGCACCTGGCGTGTTTTGCTGTTTGAGTCCTGGCCGTCTGTCGGGTTCCAGGGCGCTCCAGCAGATGTCCGGGGCCGAGAAGGTTCAGGAGGGAAAGAAACACACAGACACAATTAATCGTCGAGTCCCAGGAAAATATGCAAAAATATGGGAAGTGGTGGGGAAGACAAAAACCCAGAAAATATGGGAAAATATGGGGGATATTTTTATTTGTGTGTATTTATTTGTGTGTTCCAGTTCCCCTTCAAAGGTGCCCGTGGACGGTGGTCTGGACCTTGGGGCCGCCTCTCTCTCTCTCTCTCTTACTATTTGCCCCACGGTTGCCGTCCTTATCTCGATCCTTCTCTCTCCATCTCTGTCTGTCTCTCTGTCTCTCTGTCTCTCTCTCTCTCTCTCTCCTCCTGCGTCTCCTTCTGTTTCTCGTCCGTTCTCCGTCGTCCAGGGGGTCCGAGTGCTCCCGCCAACCCATCGGCCTGTTCGTCCATTCCCCCCCGCTGCGTTCCCAGTAATCTTCCCTGGGGCTCGTTTTTTGACGGAGGCGCTGCGGGGCCGCTCACCCCGTGCCATGCCAGGCATGGGTTTTGATCACGTTTCTGTGTGTGTGTCTCTCTCTCTCTCTTTTCACTTCTGTCTCTCTTTATATATATACATGTAAATATATTATATGTACACATCTCTCTCGTTGTTTTTATCTCGCTCAACGTCTCTCTCTCTCTCTCTCCCTCTCGCTCGTTCTCTCTCTCTCTCTCTGGGTACATCTATGTAGGTCGTTAGTTGTGTGTGTCTCTCTCTTTCTCTCTCTCTCTCTCTCTGTCGTTCTCCCTCTGCCCTCTCTTGCTCTGCGAGGCTCGAAAGCATGTCCGAAGAAGCCCGCCGCAGCTACCGCTTTTTGAAAACTGTCTGCAATGACCCCGCCGCAGTTGCCGCTTGCTGTATCCAAGCAGCAATGTGGGTGGGTTGCAGGTGGGTCACGGTTATGTCGCGGGCGGTTGGTGGGTGGGTCACGGGCGGGTCGCCGGCAAGTCGCGGGGCGGTCGCGGGCGCGTCGCGGGTGGATCGCAGGTGGGTAGCAGGCATGTCGCAGTGTAGCACAGACAACGAGATTCTGCACCGCGGAAGCCCACTTCGGTCACGCACCCAAACTGGGGTATGAGAGGTATAAGACCGCTCGGACCCATGCCTCTGACCACGCCGCCCACAGAACAGTCCGCCTGGTGTCGCCTCCAGGGTAGATCTGCATGTCTGCAGCGCACGCGCCCCGAAGGCCAAGAGATTGTGGAGGAGGAGGAGGAAGAGGAGAAGGAGGAGGAGGAGGAGGAGCAGGAGGAGGAGGAGCAGGAGGAGCAGGAGGAGGAGGAGGAGGGTGAACGAGTCCCGAGCAGAACAGCAATTCAGCACGACCGGGGCGACGCCGACAGCGACGGGGACGACGACGGCGACGAGGCGCGCCAGAGGTGCACCCCGCAGCACGGAGTTGGGGGACGGGCCCGCGCTGCGAGGTTCGGCACACAATGGAGGCCCATGCCAAGAGCCTCCTGCTTGCCTCCAGGGTACCCTGGGCTTCTTGGGTTGACGCTCCCGCGCCGAAGATCGATGGACGTCCTGGGGTCTCGGGGTTGGGTTTCTTGTGGAAGGTCTCTTGTGGTCGAGCTCGTACGGAACTGCGTATCGTGGCGCGGTGCTGCGGCGTCCCCGCTTAGAGGAGCAGGAGGCGGAGGAGGAGAAGGAGGTGGCGGAGGCGGAGGCGGAGGCGGAGGAAAAGGAGGAGGAGGAGGAGGTGATGGAGAAGGCGGAGGAGGGGGCTCTCTGGGTTCTCCTGTCGGCCCCTCCTCCCCTCCTCCCCACGCCCCCGGCGAGAGGCGCTGCCCCTCTGGGCCGGCGGGGAGCTGCGGCTGGCGGGCGTGGTCCCCTGGCAGCTGACGGAGTGCCCTGGGGAGCAGCCGAGAAGGGCCCAGGAAGGTCCCTAGTTTAATGCAGGGCCTGTCCCTCTACAGGGGGATATTCAAAATATGCAAAAATTGTCAGGGGACGATTTTTTGACCACGTTTTGGCATTTTGGATGTATTTTTTGGTGTTTTTGTTTTCCTGCCGAAATCCCCCTATAGGGGGACACGCCCGACCTAAGCCTAGTTTGGCATCGCTCGGACGCGTGCGCTTTTTCCTCTTGCGAGGGCCATCGAGGAGCATCTTGGTCCATGCTGCGGAGACAAACGAAGCCGCGCGCACGAGGTCGGAAAGTGCACGGGGGTTGGGCGTCCGAGCGATGGCGAGCCGAGGGCTTAACGCTCTCATCCCCAGCCATCCTAGTGTGCGGGGCCCCCTTCGGAAGAGACAGCGCCCTCGCGTCTCGTCCTCCTCGTGTCCTCTCCGCTACTCTCCTCCTCCCCCCTCCGCCCTCTTCCCGTCCCTGCCCCTGCCCACCGCATGCAATCATCATCGTCATCGTCGGCAGCCCTCCTCGTCATCGCCATTGTCATCCAATGCATGTCGGCACCCCCACGCGCTCCGGGGCCCCTTTGGGGAGCTCCACCGAAGGCCCCAACGGCCGTCCTCGCACGCGACCCCCTGCCCATTTCGACACACCCCTCACACGCTTCGTGGCCCCATAGGGAGCTCCACCGAAGGCCCCAGCGGCCGTTCTCGCATGCGGTTCCCTGCCCATTTCGGCACTCCCTTCGCACGGTTCGTGGCGACACAGGGATCTCCACCTCAGGCCCCAATGGCCGTCCTCGCATGCGGTTCCCTGCCAATTTCGGCACAGCCCTCACATGCTTCGTGGCGGCGCAGTGATCTCCACCTAAGGCCCCACTGGCCGTACGTCCATGCGGTTCCCCTCCCAGCACACCTCTCGCACGTTTCGTGTCCCCATCATGAGCTGTCCTCGCATGCGGCTCCCCGCCCATTCTGGCAAACCTCTTATACTTTTGGTTGCCCCACAGGGAGCTGCCTGCACCTAAGGCCCGAGTGGCCGCCTTGTCGGTGTCGCGGTCGACCCGCGCGCGTCGCTGGAATTCTTTCGGGGCGACCACCGCGCGTCGTGGAGACTTCGTTGCGCTCCGTGTCTTGGCGGGAGACGAGCTTGCATCTTGCGGGCGCCTACAAGAAACGGGTCCCCCGGACGCCCGGTCGCTCGTCGCCAATCCCCCCGCGTGCCCTCATTCGCCTTTGTTCTCCTCCTCTTCCTCCTCTTCCTCCTCCTCCGCGCCCCAGTCGCTTTGCTGTGCCTCCCTCCTGCTTTTTCACCTGCCTCGCGATATTCGCAGCTGCACATGGTCGGGCTTTTCGCTCGCGAGTATATTTATCGAATCGGCTTGCGGATAAGGTCAGCTAAGCCGAGGTTGATTTGTACATCGATGCAAATCTCGGCAGCCCTACGAAATCCCATACATCTCTTCCAACGACAGCGTGGGCAAATCTTGGGCGAGAAGGGGACCGAGAGGGAGAGCCGCGAAGGATCTGGCAGGATCGAGGGCGTTTCTGAGGATGGCCGCGGTTGGAGACCCGAGGAGGATCGAGGGGCAGCAGCGAGATTAGAGGATCGAGGTGGTTCGTGGTTCGATTAGAGGATCGAGATTTTCTTTTCTTTTTTTGTTTTAAAGGGGCTGGGAGGACCGAGGATTGAGCAGCACCCGAGGAGGGTCGAGGCTCCAGTGTCGAGGTGCTTCTTCGGCGTTTCTGGCCCCGTGGAGTCTCCTGGCGAGGTACCCCTCGCTGTACCGCGGGCCCTGCAACGTCAACCGCGACAAGGCGGTGAAGCCGACAGACGCCACTATCTTTGTCTTCTCGCGCGACGGACCCTGGGGGCCCCGGGACTAACCAGAGCCCCAACGTCAAAGACGGCAACGCTGAGGTGTTTGGCCTCTGGGGGGGTTCTCGGGTCCCTGGATTCAAGAGGCGATTGGACAGGGTAAACAAACGCCATTGGAGGAGGGGGTGGATTTTTCGTGGAGCCCGTACCATCTTGAAAAATCATGGCGTCGGAAGTCGGGGACGGACCACGCAGAGCCTTGTTGTTATGGGACGCTCGGGAAAGTGGGCGCTTCCATCGAGGGATCGCGACGTTGGCTCCTCGCCATCATTCGGAAGGACCGCGGAAGCCAGCGAGGAGAGCTTGATGGCGGCTGTGGCCGGCGGATCATGCCGGCGGAAGCTGTTGTAAGCTGGCGGAGAAGAGTTGCAAACAGCCCCGCAGAGGTGTTGGCGTCAGCGTCGTGTGTCGTGTTCCGGGTTGGCCAGTTGGCCTCAGTGCTGGGATCACACGCCAGTGGTGTAACTATGCCAAGGTTTCCGACCTCGTGTTCTCTGTTGTTGTGCGACCCTGCGTCCGTATAGACCTCTCGATCTGCGACCATTTGCGAATTCCGGGCTGCGCGCGGCGCGCGAGGGCCCCCCCGCCTCCCGAGGAGCGGCCGCGGGCCTCGGCCCGCTGCGCACGCTGGCCGAGCACCGGGGCGCCGCCCGGAGGTGCCGGCAGGCCGGGGGCACGGCGTGGTCGTGCGAGCTGTGCGGCGTGTGGGGCCTGTCGTCGGCGGCGGACCTCGAGGCGCACGACGCCGGCAAGATCCACCGGAAGCGTGTGCTGCTCGAGGAGCCAGCGTGTGTGAAAAAGCCGTGCCTCTCTCTCTCTCTCTCTCTTTCTTTTGTCTCTCTCTTTTTCTCTCCCTTTCTCGTGTATAGTTACATATATAATGTAGACACACGCGTTTACACACACATATATATATATATATATATATATATATATATATATATATGTATACGTCTGATATCTGGCCTGTACGTTTGGTACATTTATCTAAAGACATATGTATACATAGATGTGTGCGTGTGACTGTATGTGGGCGGGTGTACCTGAACATTTGCGCACACGGGTCCGTGTGTGTACACAAGTACATGCATGCACATGTTATGTATGCACATGTTATGCACACACACACCGGCATACCATGCATGCACCCACACACGCAAATCTGTACATAAAGGCATGTACAGCCTAGTTAGCGCACGTGTTCAAAACGGAATATACTCGTTCAGGTGGTTGTATGTTTGTCAGAGGTGGGGGGTGAGATCGCAGTGAATCGGAGACCCCCCACCGGGAAATCGGTTTCGGTTTCGTGCTCGTGTCGTGCGTGCGGGCGAGGCGAAGCTGCGCGTGATCCTCCTGCAGCTAGGCCGACGTAGGAGCGAGAGTTCGTTGACCCTCCGCCGGTGGCTGGGAGGTGATCCCAGTGGGGCCGGGCGGTGTCCTCCCGCGCGCCAGTGGCCGGGAGGTGTCCCGGTTGGGCCGGGCGGGCGGTGTCCCGGGTGTCCCGGGCGTCCCGGCGCTAACGCAGGTCGCTGATTTCATAGTAGTTCGTTTTTTTCGGCGCCTGCGGCGGGCTTTCTTATCCAATCCAGCTCATCGTAATCCAGAAGCCGCATTAAAGTGATCATTTCCCCCCTCTGTGACAGAGGGGGTGTTTTTCGGACCCCCTCTGTGACAGAGGGGGTGCGTTCGGAGGCCCTCTGTGACAGAGGGGGTGCGTTCGGTCTCTGCGACAGAGTTGCTCGTCACCCCGTTCCTCCTCATCCTGCTTCTTGATTTCGGATATGTCATGCTACCACTGCGCTCATCATCTTTGCGTCTGTGATCCTCGTCGTGTTGTTCCATGCGTCATTTTCACAATTTCCACCACATTATCCTCCGTTGCCGTTCTGGCCCGCCATCTACCTCGTCACTCTCCTTCGTCTGCATGTCCTTATTCTTTTCCGCTCTTTTTTCGCCTCCCTCTGGTTCGATTTCCGCTCTTCGTCCACTTCGTTCATTCGTTTCCAACCCCCCTTCCTTTCAAGTTCCCCGCCGTCCAATCACGTCGCGTCGTCCGCCGCCGCTATGCTCAAACCACCCCGCGCCCGTGGGATCGCCCGCGAGCACCGGTGCAGCTGGGCCCGTCGCGGCCTAACGCGCGCCTGCGCCATCGTCTTGCAATGGGCGATGCAGGCGGATACACATGGGATGGCGCGGGAGGATGGTGGGATAGCCGCAGCAGCGGCTGGCGTGGCTGGGAGGACGGCCATGATTGGTCAGCGAGGGGTTGGAGAGACTGGCGACAAGACGGGCACACGCCAACGGAGGACGCCAAATGGCGCGATGGCCCTGCCGCCGCAGCAGCGGCGGCGGTCTCGTCTCAACGGCCGTCTCGCTTCGCCGCGCTTAGCGTTGTGAGCCCCCGCGCCCCTGGTCTCGGCAAGCCCGAATTCGATAATTTCGTGAGGGCTGCCCTCCGAAACGTACCAGAACTTGGGAACGCAGTTTCAGGAGAGGGGTCGGGATCCCGAGCCGCGCCTGCGGCGCAGGAGCCCCGCGCCACCGCAGCGGCGGCGGCGCGCGGGCCCCAGGATTTTGAGAAGTTTGATGTTAATTATTTTTTGAGTTATGAAGAGAGGCTCGGCACTTCGTTTAAGCAACACAATCAAGCGTTGAAATGGTGGCGCCATCTGAATGAAGACCCAACTGCCCCGTTCGAGTCAGAAGCCAAGTGGTTTGACAATGCGAAGCCCACCATGGTCGCTGTTTGCGACCACGGTGCGAGGACGAGCTTTGGTTTCAAAAGCGACGAGGAAGTCCCTTGGCGGTGGCAAGAGATGGTGGCGACGCTCAGGGAGGAAGATATCAGGGAGGTCGTGGAGGGGCCCCGCAGCAGCGGGGCTCTGATCGGCTGTTCCCTCGAAGTCCGGCCAAACAGCTACGACCACATGCGTCAGAGTATTGTGCGCGCGCGACAGTTCGCGGGGCAGCGGGTGAAAGTGAAGCTGCCGATGTGGGATTTCGTGTTGCACCGCGACGACGGGACAGGCGTCCGTTTACACCCGCACTGGGGCGACAGGAAGGTCGAAGCTCTGCCCCTCGTCCCCCACGCGGACACGGTGAGGCCACCAACCGCGGGTTTGGGCGGGAGCGACGGGTCAGGAACTTTTCGCTGGCACAAGGACCTCGGTGTGGAGCGCAAGGTCAAGTTCGACGCCGCCAGAGAGAAGGGGAGGCCGACGCCCTCTCAGGGGCCCCGCAGCAGCGGGGCCGCGGCGTCCAGCACCAGGCCCTCGGCGTCCGCAGCAGCGGGTGGCAAACAGTAGTTTTGGGACCGAATAACTCCCCAGACGATTTGGTTTCGGAGTAGATGGCTCCGCAGCAGCAGCGGGGCTCGAATGAAGGGCGCGTTGCATTTCTGCAGGGGCGCGCGCGTCGGCCGCCGAGATCGGGAGCGCTCGTGCAGGCGCCGTGGCGCGATCTTCGTAAAGAAGTCTTCCCTCTCCTCCCTGTCCCCCCATCCCGCCGCCCTCAACGTCGGCTCCTCGCCGCCCGTTCCTCGTCGCTCCACGCCTGTTCGTTCTCCTCCAATTTCCTCTCCCGCTTCCTCGTTCTCTCCTTCCCATTTTTCCCTCCATCCCATTGCATCCCTGGCACCCCAGCGAAGTTCGCAGTTCGAAGTTTGAAGTTCGGAGTTCGAAGGTTGCAGTTTGAATTTCGAAGCTTCGCACTTCGAGGTTCGATCTTCGAACCTTCGTCATCTCGTCGTCGTAATCGTCGTCCTCGTTCGTCGTCGTCGTTCCTCGTCGGCGTCGATTGTCGTTGTCGTCGTCGCTCGTTGTCGTCGTCGCCGTCGTCGTCGTGGTCGGTCGTCGTCGTCGGTCGTTGTCGTCGCTAGTCGTCGTCGCTGGTCGCCGTCGTGGTCATCGTCCTCGTCGTCGTCGTCGTGGTCGTCGTCGCCCTCGTTGTCGCCGTCGTGGTCATCGTCGTCGTCGTTGTCGTGAAACGCCCCACGTAGGAGGAGCAGAGAAGGGAGTAAGGAGAAATGAGCACGGTGGAGGGAGGAGGGAGGATTGAACAGGAAGAGGAGGGTACAGATGGAGGTAGAAGGGATGAGGTAGTTCAGAAGTGGGAGCAGCAGACTGGCGCAATGGGAAAAGCCATGTGAGTGCAGGGAGGGATGGAAATGCGATAAAGTGAAGCCGCAGCCGTTGCAGGTCTGCCTCCCGCCGCGCCCGCCCGCCTCCGCGACTGGAGCCGCGCAGGAGCCTCTGCCGAAGTCTCCGCAGCAGCGGGGACTGCCAGAGGAGGCTCCTTCGCGGTTTTTGCGCCGGTATGGCGAGCATCGCGGGCAAGTACGACGTCGATGACTTCGAGCTCATCACGACGGAGGGCAGTGTTTGGCACTGGGCGACCATGGTTGTGCGGTTTCTCCAGTGGCGCAATCGTTGCCGCCATGCACGCGCCGTTGGAGTGAAGGGCCAGATGCTCGTCGACCAGGCGCGGCAGATGATGGAGGAGGCGCGCCGCACCGAGGAGATGGGCAAGATGATGCTTGAGATGTCGAAGAAGAAGGTGAAGGACATCCCAGGCAATATTCGGTACTTTTGCCGCCAGCCGCACCAGGAGAGCTGAGCGGCGATCGGAGCTGGGCCGATAGAGGAGGACGAGGAGGAAGAGGAGGGGGGATGAGGAGAGGAGGAGGAGGGGGATGAGGAGTTGGAGGCAGCACGCGCACCCGCACTAAGAGCCGCCAGCCGCGCCCGTCTCCGAGCATGAAACCCGAGCTTGGCTGGGAGGGGGGAGGGCGGTAGCAGAAACAGCGCAGGACAGGGATGGGAGAGGTCACGCATCCGCCGCATTAGCGGCGGTGGTACGACAGTTCTCATGGCGGCGCGGCGGTCGCTGAGAAATGGAGCACGTGCGTGGGCCTGCGTGCGCTTAATTATGAGTGGCTCTCGTCCCCTCCCCTCCTCTTCCTCCATGAGATCTCTCTCCTGGTGCATATCCCCTGCCAGTGCTCGTCCTGCTCCTCTATCCGCCCCCCTCGTCCGTTCCTGCCACCAGCCACATGGGGCGTTCTCAATCAACACCCCATTGAGTGTCCCCATGTGAAGGTTGCCCTTTGTCATGAGGGCGGACTCGCAAGAGCCGAGTGGCTGAAGAACTAATTAGTAGTTTGGGGTCCGAACAGCTCCCCAGACGATTTGGTTGTGGAGTAGGTGGCTCCGCAGCAGCGGGGCTCGAATTAAGGGCGCGTTGCATTTCTGCAGGGGCGCGCGCGTCGGCCGCCGAGATCGGGAGCGCGCGCGCAGGCGCCGTGGCGCGATTTCGTTTTGAAGTCTCCCCTCTCCTCCCTGTCCCCCCATCCCGCCGCCCTCAACGTCGGCTCCTCGCCGCCCGTTCCTCGTCGCTCCACGCCTGTTCGTTCTCCTCCAATTTCCTCTCCCGCTTCCTCGTTCTCTCCTTCCCATTTTCCCTCCATCCCATTGCATCCCTGGCACCCCAGCGACGTTCGCAGTTAGAAGCTGGAAGTTCGGAGTCCGAAGATCGAAGTTTGAATTTCGAAGCTTCGCACTTCGAGGTTCGATCTTCGATCCTTCGTCATCTCGTCGTCGTAATCGTCGTCCTCGTTCGTCGTCGTCGTTCCTCGTCGGCGTCGGTTGTCGTCGTCGTCGTCGCTCGTTGTCGTCCTCGCCGTCGTCGTCGTGGTCGGCGTCGTCGTCGTCGATCGTCGTCGTCGCTAGTCGTCGTCGCTGGTAGCCGTCGTGGTCATCGTCCTCGTCGTCGTCGTCGTGGTC